TAATTGGCTGCCATGGTCTTCCCGTGCATCTCCACCCTGTTCCCAGCTAAGATCTTCTGAAGGGAGGCTTGGGGCAAAGTGCTGTGGAAATGGGCTGGAGAGTGTTGTGAAAAGGGGAGCCAGCAAGAGGGTGGGATGCCTGGAGGGCTGCAAAGAGGATTTTAAAGAGTTGTGTGAAAGAAAGAATAGATTGGGCCATTCATTGGAAGTTAATGAGCTGTCTGTGGGACATGAACAGGACAGACTGGGATCCTTGGGAGCCTCCTAGGGCTCAACAGCCAACTTCTGACAGAGGGTCGTCATTGTAAGAAATCCCTTGTGTCATTGCTACACAAGGAGCTTTGGTGCCAAATCCATATATTTGGGGATAATCCTCATTTCTTGATTTTCCAGATAAGATTTTTATGAAGATTACTTGTTGCCGATTTAAAACCATACCACGACGTGACTTGTTTTCAACTCTCAGGTGGCTATATTTTTCTGACTGACATGAGCAGGGCCAGGACATGGGTAGATGTGGCAGCGTGGGACACAATTAGTGGGCATGGTAGTGATGGGTTGATGTTTGGACTATATGATGTTAGTGGTCTTTCCAAACTTAATAATTAACTTAATGATTCTTTGACATCCTTCAGAGGTCACCAGTGCAGGAAAGTCTTTCCTTACTTAGCTGCCAGACGCAGAGTCTACAGTCTTTTTCAGCCCCCCAGCTGCTCCAGCAGAGTCAGGAGGATGTTTGCAGAGAGCCTGGGATGAAATCCTCAACTCTGAGGTCTCCTCTCCCTCCTCACAGCCTCAAAGAGGAGCCCGGTGCCCAGCTAGGAGCACTACAAGCACATCACTGTTTGATGTGAAATCTCCACCCTAAGCCCAGGGCTCGAGATAGATACAATTAACAGATTTGATGAAATAGCTCAGATAAAAGAAGGTGCCTGTTGAGTGCTGTACCAAGCCCTGCCCAAAGCTCTTCACATTTTGAAGAGCAAACATGCAATCGGGAGTGGGAATTAATTACCAGGGCCGGTTTATCACGGCCCTCCCTCCGTGCCTCTCACAGAGGCTCACACCCCATCTCAGTGCCAGGCTGCACGTACGGCAGCAGTGCTCTGACTAAGCCTCGCCCAGGGCTCACAGGCAGCACAGTCCCATCCCTATGGCCCAGCACCTCCTGCTTTCAGGCAGGAGCGTCCAGTCGCCACTCACGCATCTTCCTACAATGCTGGAACTGCTCCCAAGATAGTGCCACTTTCCTCCAGGTGACTCCTGCGGATGTAGCTTGCTGACTAACTGGGGAATGGCCAGGGAACTGAGAAGAGCTGGGGGATGCCCAGGTGCTGATTTGCTTCCAGGAGCAGGACAGCAGCTACTGAGCATGCAGACAATGTGGGCAGCGTGCTGGAGGAGCCAGGCCCAAACTGACAGCAGAGCTGTGATGCAGGTACCAAAATAGGACTGTGCACCTGCAGCTGTGGGTGGTGAGGGGTGGGGGACCCCAGCCCAGCCTTCCCAGCGTCCCTCCTGCATGGCGTGGGTGGGCAGCATGTGGCCCTGTCTCCTGGGCCCTCCCCTGGCTCCTGATGGGCTGCATCTCCCATCACCCCACAGTGGCCTCTTCCGCCATTGGTCCCCAAGAGCTGAGTCCATCAATGGTGTTCAGATCAGCCCGTCCCAAGTTGTTGGAGCAGTTCTGCATCTGCATGTCTGAACCATTCAAGTCTCTGTGGCAGAGACACTGTGTATGACTGCTGCTTATGTCTTTCTTTTGTGCTGGATCGTGGTTCGAATACATGGCACCTCGACTCAGAAATGGCCATGCCAGGGCTGCAGCTTGCAGAAAATGGTTTGGGTCTTAAGGAGAACTTGGAGAGTATTCAGATTTTGGGAGATAAGAGAGCGGACTTGAATGGAAAATATGCCAAGGAAGAAAGAAACCTTCTAATAAGCTCAGGGAGTGGGGTTTGTGGGAGGACACTGCTTTGCAGGGAGCATACTGTGAGGGATGGCAAAGCACAAAGTCTGCACACACACAGCGATCCCTGTGTGCAACGTGCTGTTGGAGCAGTGGCAGGGAAGAGATTCCAACATGACTCAGATGCACACTTACTGAGAGGAAGGAAAAGGTCCAGAAGACAAACAGCAGGCAGTCAGGTGGAGAGCCTCCTCCCCAAAGCACTGATTCAACCCTCACGTACTGCAGGCTCCTGAAAGCAGGACCGCTGCAGCAGGAGGAAGGCATCCACTTCACCTGTCCAGCTCACATCAACAGGAACGAGGGAGTCCTCGGTATGCAGGCTCATACACTACAGCAACAGCCCAGCATGGAGGTGAGCTGGTGAGCTGCCAGCTGCAAAACTTACCCTTCTCCCCACACCATTTAAGATTCATGGTACATTACTTTACTCCTCAAGTGCACGGCAGAGTGCTGGTGAAGAGGATGGGCTCTCACAGGATGTTTGTTCTAGAGAGCATATGTGCTGTCCTGAAATGGCACAGCATGCTGTGAAGGGCTCTCTCTACCACTCCTGAAGGATGTACTCAACCTGGCACTAAATCTGGCAGGCCCCAGTGCCAAGGGCAACGAAATTCTTGTCCCACAGGCTTCCGTATGAGTTGCTTACTCCCAGCATGGGGCCTGGGCCATGTCCTTGTGGTGTCCTACTGTCGGCACCAGTAGCTCCTAGGTGCCTATATACTAGTTGTAGACACCCACCTAGCTGCCATCCTCCTCCAGAGAAAAGTCTCACATACATACACAGTGGCTCTGCCACTGGCGCCTTGCACAGCCCCTGGCCCCTCCATGCTGCTTTGCTGCCTTCCCTTGTCTCGGTTCAGAGGCAGCGCAGCTGTGCTGCAGGGGACCTCCCCTATGAAGACAGGCTGAGGGAGATGGGCTTGTTGAGCCTGGAGAAAAGAAGGCTGCAGGGTGACCTAATTGCAGTCTTTCAGTACCTAAAGGGAGCCTAAAAAAAGGAGGGAAATCAACTCTTTGGAAGGATAGATAACAGCAGGACAAGGAGAAATGGTTTTAAGTTGAGGGAGGGAAGATTTATGTTGGATGTCAGGGGAAGTTCTTTACTATGAGAGTGGTGAGGTGCTGGAACAGGCTGCCCAGAGAGGTTGTGGATGCCCTGTCCCTGGAGGTGTTCAAGGCCAGGTCGGATAGGGCCCTGGGCAGCCTGGTCTAGTATTGAATGTGGAAGTTGGTGGCCCTGCCTGTGGTGGGGGGCTGGAGATTCATGATCCTTGAGGTCCGTTCCAACCCAGGCCATTCTGTGATTCTGTGATCCAGTTCTCTCCCTGGGGACAAGGACTCTCAATGGCAGCAGTCCCCACAATCTAGCTCACAAGCCCTGGTGCCAACCTTGCTGCCAGCCTCTATTCACTGTCCTTTCTGGATCCCTGGCATCTTCTTAGAATCATAGAAAAGTAGAATCATTACAGTTGTAAGAGATCTCTAAGCTCATTTACTGTAACCACCAATCCACCCCACCATGCCTACTGACCATGTCCCTCAGTGCTACATCCACACAGTTCTGAACACCTCCAGGGACGGTGACCCCACCACTTCCTTGGGTAACCTGTTCCAATACCTCACCACTCTTCCTGAGAAGAATTATATATTTCCTAACATTCAACCTGAACCTCCCCTGTCCATGTAAGAGCAGACAATGCCAAGCGCTGGGTATTCAGAGATGTTCTCATCCCAGCCAAAAGAAGGTTCCCTTGGCCATCCCAGTCTCTCCAGCTGATGGGCAGATCACATATCAATACATGCAGTGTAGCTGTGTTCTGGCCCCAAACCATTCACAGGATAAGCAAAGGGCTCTTCTTCAGTATTTGCTGAATTATTTCACCTTCCTTGCTTACTGTTAGAATCGTAGCACCATTGAGTGGCTTGGGGGACCTCCAAGATCATCCAGTTCCAACCCCCAAAAATGGGCAGGGTGGCCACCCATTAAATAGCAATGTTCCATTGGAAATGTGAAGAAAGAAGTATCCCTGTGCTTCCTCTCTGAGCAAACACCCTGGGGACACCAACCAGATGGGAAGGGAGAAACACTGGGGCCTCCCAGCTGTCATACTATCACCAGCCTCTCACTGCCATGGGTGCAGCTCCGCCTCCCCCAGCTCCATCCTTCTGCCATGCACTGCTCCCACTGGGAGAGAAGCAGCACAAGGGATCTCCAAAGGCCCCATCCTTCCTCCTGCTCCCCCCTATCCCCTCCAATTCTCCCTACTCCCTCCCTTCCTGCCCCTGCTGTGTCAGCCCGGCCCTGCTCACTCCCTGATTAAGTCATTTCCTGACATTCAGCACCGTGCAGGATGACCAGGAGCAGATGTACACAAGCAGAGAAGAGTGGGAGCCCTAACGCTGTGTCCAATGGCATGCTGACAGCCTGTTGGGTGAGGGAAGGGGGAAAAAATACAGAAGGAGGAGAAAAAAAAAAAACCCACAAACAGCTCAATACTTTCCATGTGCCACCACTAAGGAGGAAATCGCCTCCATTTGCTACGTGCAAAGTTTGGTGTCTGCACAGCGGGCCGGGAAGAGAAGGGAGCCTGTTTCCCAGGTGGGGAGGAGGGGCTGCTGGCAGCGGCAGCGTGCGGAGGGAAGGCCCCCACACACCCACACGGGACAAGATGGGACAGGGCAGTGGGAGGGGGCCAGAGGGAGCTGCAGGTGGCAGGGGAAATAGCGACAGCGGGAGGCTGTCTTGGCACAGTGCCGGGCTGGATACTGCCTGGGCTTCCTGCTGCCAGGCTGCCAAGGAGAGAGGCATCTGTGCACCAGGGACTGGGCCTTGGGCTCCTCATCCACATTGCTTTTCCTTCCTGAGACTGAGAGCCAGCTGTGCCCCCTTGTTCTACAGGGGCACCACGGCTCTCCTGCCCCTCCAAACAGGGGCAGGAGCCTCTGGTAACATGCAGCATCCTTTTCCCCTTCCCAGCCCCATCATGAACATCAGCGTGGATGGTGAGGACAGCCTCGTGCCAGGAGGTGCCACCAAGTTGTCTCCTTTACCCAGGCGGGTCCCCAATTAGAGCAGCACTGCCAGAACCACCCCCGGCCTCTGCAGCACGGGGAAAGTCCGTGGACTGTGCACCAGGTTGAGTTGGTGGCAAGAAGCACACCTGGGGACAAGGGGTCCTTCTTGCATGGGCACCTCTGAGCAATAAGGAAGTGGTGGAAAAATGCCTTTGCCTGCAGTGCACTCGTAGGTTGTAAGGTTATAAACATAAAGTCCTCCTGATCCTGCTCCAGGCTGGCTAAACACTAGCGCAGGCTCCTCCCAAGTGCTTTTCCCATCGTATCCGTGTGCTCCCACCTGCTCAGGAAGCTCCAGCCCATCCAGTCCCCCCTGGGAAATCACTGCTCTGTCCTGGCCTAATTGTGTCTCCAGGGCCCTGCCTGATCTTATATGAACAGATGTCCTGCAGGTGGGTGCCCTCAGAGCCCGCAGTCACACACCCACACCAGATAGAGCAAAGCGGGGCTCTGGGCTGCTGCTGCTGGGAAAAAGGCAGGATGAGTACGGCCAGGCAGCAGGAAATCATAGCAGCCCCTTGAAGAGAGACCACTTGGGAAAGCCCTCAGTGGGGGACAACACTCTGAAGGCTGTGGGGTCTTGAACCATTGACCATAAGTTGCAGAGAAGCAAGGTGGTGTGCAGTACATCCCATGCTGCTTGGGCTGGTCCAAAAGCCAGAACACCTGGTTCTACTCATTCCTGCAAGGCCCCATGCAGAGGATGTCACCCCATTGCAGATTTTTTGGGATGCGCTGGGATGGAGGCCATTTGATAAAGTTCTCTGTGATACAGAGAGGAAAGCTGTGGACTGACAGTGCCACATCCCCAGAAACGCAGTGGAGAGAACGATGGGATTCAAGCTCATAAATGGCTCCTGATACGTCTCTTCCGGGGGCTCTGTAGTCTATGGGACACTTCAGGAACCAGGAACCATGACAGCCCATTCCTAACCTTTTGCAAAGGGAGCAGATGGGGAGCAAAACTTACCTCCAAACACCTCCTGATTCTGGGATATCTCACTCTTCCCCTGCAAGGTGCCATGGTGTGAGCCCACTGAAGATGGTCCCATTCATCTGTGTGCAGGGAAGGTGTCCTCCCTCACCACATGGAGAGAGCAGAAGCAGCCCTAGAAGTGGCCAAATGAAGTGGGAATCACCCAGAGAAGCTAGCAGTCCTGTGCCAAGTAGAGGGGCTTCTAGCAGGGACCCCCATTCATCTTCGGGAAGGTGTGGGGAGGTGACATCTTCTGCTTGCTGTTAGTGGAGGTGTGGTGGGGACAACAGCACACCACATGCCTGGGGGATCAACAGCTTTGCAAGCAGACATCCTCTTCTATGGGACATCTCTCACTCTGCTGGTTTATTAATTTATTTTTCATTTTCCCTCCCTCCTCCTTGTCCTCCTCCTCTTCTCCCCTCATCCATGGACAAGGCTCTCAGAGCTCGAAGAGAGGCAAAAACCAGCACAGCTGCAAAGGCAATCAGCCGCGAGCTGGCAGGCAAGCACACACAGCTGGGAGAGAGAGCACGCTCTCACACACACAAAGCAGCACCAAATGGAGCACGTGGATGGCAGCCAGCAGAGCCTGGTGACTCACACACGCCGGTCTCCCTCAGCTTATGGCCGGGAAACATCAGCAGATGACTGAGGAGGCTCTGCATTGAGCACAGACTGGCCACCACAGCCAAGGATGGGCAATGGCTCCCATCTTCAGAGGCTGACACATCTTGGTGGCACCACGTTAATTTCTGTGAGTCTGCCCCTGCTCTTGGGGTGTCCTCTGCCCTCCCAAAAGCACCTCAAAGCCACAGCAGGTCATGAACTGTCTGCCTGACTCTCCTTGCCACTGACTGAACTTCTAACATCCAGAGCATGATAATGCTGAAGAGAGAGGTGCAGGGGACTCTGTGCTGATGTCCATACTCATCTCTCATTGCACGGTGCTGCACCAGGGCAGCGTTCTAACCAGGGACTTGAGGTTCCTTCCATCCTCTTTAGCTTTAGCCTCCACCCCAGCAAAAAAGCCACTCACCATCTAGTCCTCCTCTTCCAGCACATCTGCATTTCCCAGTACATCACTCTGTGCCGCCTGGCTCCCTGCTCTCCTCCCTCCTCTCCCAGCCATGAGGACCATGTATGCATCCCAAGGTCCATATGTTCCACTCAGTTTTTCTTCACAGTCCAAGTGCTGGTTTTCAGCTGATTTCCACTTGGCCATACTTTACTATCTTTAACAGAGCTTTGTCTCGTTTGTTGGCTTCCTAGCGCTAACTATCTACACAAATATAGATGTAAAATATATAATTTCAGCCAAAGTGATTCATCCGTTTCCAAGAACATTGTCAGAGAGAAATACTTTGGTTTCTCTTGCTTTTGTTACAGGGAAATCTGATGACCTTTCTTTTGAAGAGATCCCAACGTGGCATGTTTCTGGCACACAGACCTGAAGTTTGGCAAAAGGAGGAGCAGGGAAGGCCTTTGGTTGAGTCCAGACTCACCCTTTGCTGTTGCTGAATCGGCCAAGCCTTTGAAATAATCCCTTTCACATGTACTGTCCTGAGAGCACTCCCCAGCTCAATGCCCTGACATTTCCCCACCCGGGTGCTAAGCAGCATTGCCAGGGCAGAGATGTGGATCTCTGTGCCCCAGTCCAGCCTTTCCTGGCATCCATGTGCTCCCTTGTGCCAGCCTGGTAGCTGAACATCATCAGCATGGAGTGAGGGCAAGACCAGGAGGTCCTGGGCAACATCACAGGCAGAGGTGACAGCCAAAAGGTGCACAGGAGCATCAGGGCTTACACCTGGGGGCGTCAGGATGAGCTCACATCTGCAAATACAGATTTGCAGACCTGATATGAGGCACAGGAGGAAATCTGCATATCACAGATATATTACTAAGAGGGCTTGTCTTAGCAGGAGGTGAGTGAGTCCTGCATGGAGCAGACAGTGCCCTGCCCTGCCCCCAGACATGTGGAAGGGGAGACCTGCTGCTTTTCCCTGGGAAACGCATCTCCTCTTCCCCAACCCATGCAAATCCAAGAGTTAGCATCCAGGCTTTGTCAGTGCCACAGGGGGGCTTGCCCATCTTCCAGCTGGGTGCCAGCAGATGACTCATCTGCTGTGGGAACGAGGCAGCATGAAGCACAGAAGAATGGAGCTGCAGTGGTCCATTCTGCTCCCGAGTGTGCTGTTCTGCTGGGGGGTGTCTTGTAGCAGGGACATGGGGACAGCCCTGGCACACTGCAGGACTGCCTGCAGAGGAGCACAGGTGTTCTGAAATTTTGAGAAGAAGCACAGCTCCAGTAGATTTGCAGCAGCTCATCATTGCATTCCGTTTGGCCAGGATGGATGGATAGGACACAGGTTCCCTGGGTAGCAGGGTTCCCACACAGCAGGCCAAGCACTTGGTGCCAGGTATGTGCATGCAGAGCCAGACTGCCTGCTTGGGGACAGCAGGGCCTGGCCTAGGGGAAGAAATGAAGAAAGCCTCTGCTGTCAGTTGCAGATTTTACAACCCTCTGTGAATGTCCCCCATCCCCAAAGTTCCCATGGTGACCATCCTGACAGAAGCCCTGCTGGCTTCTTGCCATTTTGGATGAGCTGGAGTGCAGGCGAGTATGTCCCATTCAACGCCCTATGGGACGTGAAAGAGCTCAGCACCTGGGGACCAGCAGGGGCACCTCATGCAGCACCCTCTGGCTAGGCTGCAGTGGATGAACCAAAAATGCCCATGCATAAAAACAGACGTTGCTTTTGGTCTTGCTTGCTGCTTGCTGGTGTCATCATAGAATCATAGAATGTTTTGAGCTGGAAAGGACCCATCTGGTCCAACTCCCCTGCAGTGAACAGGCACCTACAGCTCCATCAGGTGCTCAGAGCCCCATCCAGCCTGACCTTGAGTGTCTCCAGGGATGGGGTATCCACCACCTCTCTGGGCAATCTGTGCCAGTGCCTCATCACCCTTATCGTGAACAAGAATCGTTACAACAGAGGGAGGCCGCTGAAGCAAACGGAAGGGGCTAAGGATGTGAAAAATGTTCCCTTCTCAAACCTGCCATCAGCCAACTGAAAACCTTTTTATTTGCACTGGGAGCCGATGCCAAGTCTCTGTCTGAGACTGGGTTCAAACGCTCCAGCTATATAATCCTTCCAGTCTGGGCTCATAATGGAAACGCCAGCAGACCGTTAAGCACCACGGTGCTGCCAGGTTCTGCTATAATTAAACACACACAGGAAAGGTATAAATAACCAGGTTCAGTGGGGGGGCTGCGGCTGAACGATGCACAGGAGCCAACGCTACTCTGGGCCAGCTGTGCTCTGCAATGTGGTCAGATGGCCACGAGCGGCCTAAAGGCAGCCAATGCTCTGGGACCCCCATGTCCAGCAGTGCACACTGCAGGATGCTCCCTCTCTCTGCAAGAACAGCTACACGCACCTCTCCCTGCTGGCTCTCTTCCTAGGACTCCCGGCTCAGTTTCTCTGAGTCTCCTGGGCCAATTCTTCTACATGTGTAGGAGCATCCGGGGAGCTCTGGTAAATAGCACAATAAATATTTGTTTTCAATAGCCCCGCCGCAACAGACAATGAGGCGGCCGCCACAAGCAGACACGCAGGATGATAGGGCCACGCATGTGGCCCCAAACCACTGCAGCCTGCGTCTGAAACCCAAGCCTCGCCTTTCTATTTGAAGACATAAATCCAGCAGGATTAACATGAAAAAGACCCCCCTCAACTGCAACCAGGCGCACGCATGCTCCGGCACACACATACATTTGTGTATGCTCATATATTTCCCCAACCACAGTCACCAAGCATCAAATCTGGCACTTTCCAAAAAAAGACAAAGCTGCTCCCAGCCTGCACACGGGCTCTGACCTCAGCCTGCGCCTCCCAGCTGAACTAGCAGTGCTCCCAGCCCCCAGAACATGGAGGCAGCGCCGCATGGAAATGTGAGGGAGACGTAATTCCAGAGGATGTGAATGGCTAATTCTGTACATTCAAATGAAACAGAGGGGAAATATACTGAATGGAGCCCATGTATAAGATCATATGAAATGTAAAAAGCCTTGTTGTTCTGCGCACACACTGCCTCTTCAATCCAGTTCTGCTTAAATGCCCATTCTTTTCGTTTGGCATCTCCTTGTCCCTCTATGGCCGAATCAAAAGAGGAACGAAATAATGACACAAAGATTTTTAAAAACTCAGCTCCAGCTGCAGCAGGGAGAAGCCTGAAGCGAAACGTGAGAGCGTACGGCTCTTTGTTAGGGTTTCCTTGGCTATAGAATATGGTATATGAAATGCCTGGCGTATCCCGTTCAGTCCTATGGAGGGAGAGCTCTTAAGGTGGCTCCCTCGGGTTTGGGGCAGCTGTGGGGAGCCAGCCCTGCATTTGCAGGCAGAGAACGTCCCACCTGCAGGACCCCGCACCCCAGGACTGCTCTGCAGGCAGTGGGTGGTCCGGATGGGATTTTTCTTTCTTTATTGTAGCTGCCGCTTTGCATTGGGAAACCTAACTCAACTCTTCTCATCAGGAGATGGTTCCAATTTATATGGGCTTCTATGAAATAGATGCATTTTTTTTCCATGCACACACAGCTCAAGCACCACCTTCCCCAGCCATGGGCTGAACTCTGCATTTTGGAGCTGGTAGACAGTCAGTGCCCAGATGGCTGCAGTCCCCCAGCGCCACCAACACATCTCTGGCATGTCCCCAACACAGGTGGCAGTGCTGTGGGAGAAGTATCAGCCACCCAGCAGGACCAGCAGCACTGAACCACAGCCACTCAGTGCAGCAGGGAGCCGGTCTGAGCAGCTCTGAGCCATGTTGCTTAACCTAAACAAATGCTCTGTAAACATCAACACTAATTCCTTGTCTATGGACCACAGTGCTTTTTTCTCCAAGGCTCCTCCAGCAGCAATCTGCTGGTGCCCAGTGCATTTTCCACAAGACCCACCTCTGTCACAGCCACTAGTCTTTTCCCTGTAGGACAGGGTCCACTCACAGCCCTTGGGACACACTAGTAAATGGCTCTTCACATGGGTTTCCCCAGGGAAAACCCAGTGATGCTGGGATACTCAAGAGCATCAAGGCATCATAGGCCTAGCAGCCAGCTCTGCCAACTCAACAGGTAACAAAGCCACTGAGCAGTGCTGACAGTCCTCTGCATTGTGCATTAACTTGGGCAGGCTCAGGCCAAGGGGTTCCTGCACATCATGTCTACTCCTGAAGAAGTCTGTCTGCTGGGCTCATGCAGGCACATCAAAAGATGTGTCACTTGCTTGTCCCCAGGGCCGGTGAGGAGCAGCACATTCCTCTGCAGCTGCCGGAGCTGCCTCATGATGCTGGTGTGCATGGCTGGCAGCACGCTCGTGCAGAACAGCGGGGAACAGCCAGGGCAGGCATGTGACACCCTGGCTGCTATTCCTGGTCCAAGGGACTGTCACACAGAACGAGAATCACCCAGCGACAGCACACAAGGCAGGTGAGTCCAGCTGCGGTGACAGCAAATTCCTAATTAGCTCGTTGCATCAGCCCTGTCAACCGTTCACCTTCATTACCCAATGATGTCCTACGTGCTGGGCAGTGCGTGCTCCCAGTTCCCGCTTCCCAAAACCCCTCCATCTCTTCCCCATGCAGGTGCATGACCCGAACGTTCCTGACTGCTTCCCAAGGATGGACTAAGGTCTGGAAGAAGCTGCTCGGTGCCGCTGGAGCAAGGCAAGCTCCCTGTGTGCTGCCAGTGCTCTGTAGAGAGCTCTGAAGGGCAGTACCCCGCAGGCAGGCTTGGCAGGGAGCTCTGTACCTTGGAGCTGTCTTCCCACAGCGGTAGCTGGAGCTGGTTCTGAATACTTAGATGGTTTTAATGTGGAAACAAAAATCCACTAACCGTCAGCTCTCCCCAGCAAGGCACCATCCCAGAGCTCGGCAAACAGAGAGCATGGGAGACCTGCAGCTGCCAAATAGTGGCTCTCACTCGAGCCAGACATACAAGGGGTGCTGCACCCACCTGCTGTTTGATAATACTCATGTTGCCCACACTGCAACCAGAGGATCCCACAGGATTTAGGATGCTGAAGGAGTGTGGAATCCTTCATGGTGACACCTCACAAAGGCAGCAATGCTACACAACTGGTTTGGATAAGAGGCAATGAGAAATCCTGCACCCCACTGCAGAATGTAGGTCAAGCAGGTGGAAATGTGGGAACCCTGGGCAGGAACCAGTACCCAACTGGTGCGGGCAGTATCCCAGGCCTACAGCCACCACAGACAGCCAAGGGCTTGGGCTGCGTTCTGCAGCTTTCCCCCAGCAACTCTGCAGCAGTGGTGCCTGGAGGCAGACTGGCCCTGCGAGGGCAGGAGCCCAGGCCATCCCAAAGGCTCTCTGCAAGATCTTTCCTGTGTCATGGGCTCTGGTCACCTGCACTGCAGGGACACCAGGATGTGTCCCCACCAAGGGCAGGAGAAAAGGGCTGATGGCCGGAGTTTCCTGCCTGCTCTCTGGGCCTTCACCACGGCTCCTGCCCGGTGTCTCTGCACCTCCCAAGCCCTCAGACAGAGCCAGGCAGTCAGGCCGCTCCCCACCGCCGTCCCACCGGGCTGTGCTGGGGCATGGGGCGGGAGGCAGCGGGTGCAGGGCTGCATCTCGGCGAGGACACCTTAACGTGGAGGCCTGCGGCCTGCGGCTGCCTCCTGCTCCTCGCACTCCTCGCTGGGAAGCAGCTGACTCGGGGCGGCTGCCAGCGCTGCTGGCTGCTGGATCCGGCCGCTGCAACGTGCAGTCTGACATGTAAACCCCGGGCAGGCCTATGCTAATGGCTGGGGGAGGGCGCCTGGCTCAGGGGCGAGGGGGAACGGAGGTGGAGGCCGGAGCCCAGCCAGCAAATTCTCCCCCCCCCTCCGCTCCATCACCACCTCCCCGCATCCATCTGCCTCCCCTCCTCCTCCTCCATTCATAAATCCGGGCGGCACTGCCATCTACCGTAGCGTGCAAAGCCGCCCCACCACCTTGCTAGGCCTGCAGGCAGCCTGTAGCCCTTCTGCACACACAAACCTTCATCCCACCGGCACCCTGAGGCCCCCCAGGCCACTTCCTGCACCCTCCAGTGACACAAAGGGGATCCTCTCCCTTAGTGCCGGCTTGGAACCTCCATTCAGCCCCGTGAACCCCAGCAACAAGCAGCTGGCAGCAGCCTCCCACCCCTGGGAAGCCCTCAGCTCTTGTTTCCAAACACCTCCGTACAACCACAGTCCTCAGTTGAGATGGGGAGATAGGGGAGATGAAAGCCCTACATCTCATTAATTAGGGCCCGAGGCTTTCAGACCACATGGTGGCCAGGACAAGGGTGAGAGCCAGCCCTCAGCCATAGGCTCCACTCGGGAGAAACCCTCCTACAGCCAAGCTGCCCCTACAAGAGGTGACCATGGCAGCAGCCGCTTTCCCAGCACAGCAACCCCCTTCCAGCTCCCCACCTAGGGAACTGCTATCCCCAAACACCAAAGGGCAGTGACCCCACTGCCCAGAGGGAAGCCTGCAGGGCTGGGCTCCCGAGCAGCCTCTACTCCCCAGCAGCCCCCAAGCCGATGGAGCTCTTTGTTCCCCAGCACCAGGCCTGAAGCCAGGGGAGAAGGGGCAGGGAGTGGGCATGGAGCAGCCCCACAGGACAGCCCGCATGTGGGACAGAGTGTGCAGCATGCGTGCAGGTGGGAGAGCACGCTGCTGAGGCTGAATGGGGAGCACTGTGTGAACATCTCTGCAGGGAAGGGAAAGAGAAGGAGAGAGGGAGGGAGAGAGGGGAAAAAAAATCCTGTGAGTGCAGCGTTTGCAAAATGAGCTGGCAGTAAATAGCTGGAGGACAGACAGCATCTTGGTACGTGAGGCACAGCACGGAGAGCTGCACCTGAGCAAGGCTGGGCCACAGCTCGCTCCACCATCACACGTCACCTCCTGATGCATCCTCCCAGCCTGCCTCCCTCCCACCACCCCCTCCTCCACCGCAGAAAGGCAGTGGGAAAATGGGTTCCCCTCTGCGCCTGGCACACAGCAGGGAGCAGGAGAGCCATGGCTGGGCTTCACTTGCTGCCTCTGCTTCAGGGCGTAAATGGTAGCACCCTTTTTCCTGCTGGGGACCCTTGTTCCCAGCCTCTCCCCACACCCCACCTCGAGAGCTTCCTCCCTGAGCAATGGCAGCCGTGCTGCCACGCTCCCTGCTTGCCGATGCCGCTTGCTCTTTGTCCCCCTCGCAGGGCAGCGCGCTGCCGAGATTTGCTGAGGACCGACACAACTCATCTCACCCCGTGACAAAACAAACACCAAATCCACAGAGCACCTGCAAAGCGCAGCGCCCTTCCCTGCGTGCCACAGGGACGCTCCGAGTGCCACAGCCGCTCCGAGCTCACAATGGTGACAGCGCGTGCCCAACACCGGGTGGCGGCGGGTCCCGAAAGCCGGCCGTGCCGTCACACGGCCCCGCGCTGGGATCGGGAACACGCGGGACGGCGCCACGGGAGGAGCCACGGCCGCAGCAGCCGTCTCCCGGAGCGGAAAGGGCGGCGTGGGGTGACACCGTGTGGCCGCAACCCGCCTTGCAGGCTGGCGGTGAGCTCGGGGAGGGATGCGGAGGGATTGATGGCCGCCCATGGGTAGCTCTGGGCCCGACGGCTCTGCGAGAGAAGCAGCGGGACGAGGGGCTGCAGCACGGGCACTCTGCTCCCTGGGAACACCGACAGCGCCCTGGAAAGCCAGCGGGAACTGGATTCTCTTATCGAGTGGCAGAGTTCGGCTAGGGATGGCACAGCTGGAGGCAGGGAGCTGCCCACCTGCCCTCAGGAGGCATGCCGAGATGCAGCACAGCAAAGAAAGGGTGGAGAGCAGCTACGTGATGCTGCGCAGGGAGAACTGATCTTATTAATAAAAGCTGCTTCTTCCCAGGGTCTTGATAATCTCTCCTGCTGCAGATTATTTACAGCTGTGGAATTTAATACTCCAATGAACAAAGCTCCCCGAAGCAGAGGGAGTGAGCTGTTAACCCTTCTGCACAGCTCTCGGCTGGGGTTTGGCATTTTGATGCCACAGCCACACTGAATCCCAGCACCCAGATCCAAGCCAGGCTGATGGCACAGAGCTGGCTTGTCTAGGGGAGCAGAGCCTCGGATACCCAGATTTGCCAGCAGCACCCAGCCTTTGCACAGCATCAGAGTAGCCTACACCTGCCCTAAAGCCCCAGTGTGTGCCTCCCAGGTTACACAGTCCCTTTGCTCTTGACTTGCAAGAGTCCCTTTCCCAGCTGGCAGAACAGGAATCTCACGCTTCAGCCACCCCAGGCAGCTAGAGATGGAGGTTGTGTTAGGCCCAACTTCCAGCGGCCCAAAATTTGCACAGCCCATTAACTCTGCGTGTCCCAGTTCTTACAAGCCTTTAAGATTCACTCTACTTTCCTCAGAAATGCAAGATACTACCTGCCGGCCATGAGCAGAACATTTCACCATTGAGTTTTCCAGCAAGCAATGTGAAATGCTGTCAGTGCACTGAGCAGACACCTGTATGCCCAGGAGCTGTGGTGGGTCTAGACTTGATACCCCAGGGCCCCTGTCCTCAGCTCACCTGGCTGCAGGTGAGGTCCCTTGTTCTGCAAGGCACATCAGGGGCTGAGTGGCAGGCCGGGGAAACCAGTAAAACCAGCTGTTTGCTGCTTCCAGCATCAGGAATCATAGCTACAGGGTGCCTAGGGCTGCCAAGGGCCTCCTGGAAGAGGACCAAGAGCCAAGCAGAAACGTCAGGAAGCAAGGGCCGTGATAACATCTCCCATCCTACCACCTCCTCACTTCATCACCTGCTCACAACAGTGAGTTCTCTGGTTCTGGTGAAGACTAGCAAGCTAGAGCAATGAATTCTTTAAACCCAAGAGATGCAGATTACACAGAAAGAGAGGAGTGACATGGGATGACATGGCCCAGCAGGGAACATTTGGTCCAAAGCCTGCAGCTTGCTTTGGGAAGCATTCCAGTACCCGGCCCCGTAGCTCAGGGCTCATGTTTGTTTTTAAAGAACAACATTACGGCACAGAGTTCTATAGCCTTGAGCTGCCTTCAGAAGAACCTCCTATTTCAGAAGCCCAGGTGACAGCCTGCTTGCAGCGACCACACCACAATGATCAGGTACATCACCTCCCTTTGGGGAAGGCGTGTTTGCTGTCACTGGTGAACACAGTCACCCTCGCCGCCACAGAGGAGAGTGCTCAGGCTCATTTTCAGTTCCGTTAACCAGCTGTACTTACTGGTGTCCTGGAGCAATGAGTTCCATGGAGTAACTGATGCTATGGGGAAAAAAGGAAAGCTGGCAAATGAGCCCAGCAACTTGCTTTTGACATATGTTGTGATCCCCCTCCTAGCCCGCTATGTCCCCTGCTGCCTTCCTTGATCCCACAGTCCCTCTGCCGTGCTGGCATGGGGCCACAAGCCTATCTCCTAGCCTGTCTCCAGGCAGATGGAACCCATCAGCTCCCTGCAGCATCCCTGAGCGATAATCTGTCTTGCCCATTTCCTTTTGAGACACCCCTTCTCACAGCCAGCTAATCCCCAGTTTGCATTCCTCTGTCCAGCTCTGGGCCCCAGCAGCCAGCCCTACCCCATGTCTTTTCTTGGCATTGGTCATCTCTCCCTGCCCTCGCAGAACACCCTAAGAAGGGACCACTTTCCCTCAGGACCCACCAAAAAACATCTGGTCACATCACCAGGGGTATAGGCACCCCGTGGGAGCAGAATCTGACCTCAGTCCCACATCCAAACACAAGGAACAGCACTAACCCAGGGACACAGGCAGAGCTGGCCAAGAAGGCACATTTGTAAAGATCCATGAGCAATTCCTTGGGGCAAAAATAGGGACACTGGAAAGACTCTGAATTCCGGTTTCCAGCTTCCTTTACTCTCCACAGCAGCTCACAGCTCCTCCAGAGGCTGCACAGGAGATGAGAGGATTCCTCTTTGGCACCATCCCCTGCTGGGAAACTTTCCCATAGCATAGGGTCCTGCTCGAAGGAGAGACCCCAGTAAGAAGCTGCCCCTGGTGAGTGCCTGGGATTTGCCAAGCGCAGACGTAGTGTCCCAGAGCAGTGATTTCTGCTGAGGCCACGTTCCTTGTCAGGAAAAGACACTTACAGACTGCAGGAGCTGCTTGGTGGGATGTGCTGAGCTTAGCTGTCTGCATGTCTGCTTATTAAGCTCCGAGGTTAAGGATTTAGTTCCACATATCAGTTTACTTATAAAGTGTCTCTCCACATTTTAATCTCAAGTCTGCTCCATTGTCTTGCCTGCTTCCTCTGGTGCCCTCTCCCCATGACCTCTATCCCTGCAAAATGCTGCAAAGTTATTAACAAATATTCTGTGAAATATTTAATATCCAAACAGCAGGGTCCTCGCATCCCATGAGGAACTCATAGCCCTTATGGTCAGGACAAGAAAAACAAAAATTGTTTGGAGGTCCTTGTGTCCTACCAGGGAACTGCTTCAAGGCTGGAATTGTTGCTAAGCAAGACCAAACAATCCACTTGAGCAGCTCTGCGAGTGAGTGACAGATTGGGTTAGCTGGAACCAACTGGACTCCTCTTCCACCACGCAGATGGCCTTGCACAGAAACCAAATGCAGCAGTAGAAAGCTATTTTTCAGTCTTAGGTTAGCAAAAGTAAATTTTCTTTTTTGTTCTCAAAA